CATGACTAATAACTATACCTTTATATTAATTATAACAGCAATATTATGAAAAATTGCACCATTCAAAACATTAATCCAAACTATTAATGAATGAGGTAGGCTATACTCACTGATAATAAAGTATATTAAATTAGAGTTTTTTAGAAAAATTATAAATTAACTATATTCTTCAATCAAAAAATGGGTTATAATTTGGAATGAATGAAAATGAAATACAATACTATTAAATGAGACGGAGACATTAGGTAAAATGGGAAGACACACGCGTAATTCAAAGGCTAATATTAATTTGGTAGCCTAGATCTTTCTTTTTCTTTGGTCTTCAAAAGCTTGTCATGTCATGTTCAATATCTTTGGTAGTCAAATAAAGTCTTTTATCTTTAATATTACATTGTGATATATTTTAGAAAGATTTCACATAATTTATGAAATACTCTGGATAGAGTATTATTTGAAATAATTAGTGTAGCATTTATTGTGATATGATGTATGTGAGATAAAAAGAAAATTGAAAATATAAAAATGTAGATTGAGGAACGTGTTTATATAAGCGAAATATTATTTTAAAAATAATGTATCCAAACAGTCTGTTTGCGTTGTTTATTTGTTTAGTTGGAACTTCTCACGCAATTTACAGATAGTTATAGTTAGAATGTTTAGATTGCACATTATTTACACTTTATTTATACACATTATTGACTTAATTACACTATTAATACATTTTCAATCATATTTTTAGCTCATAGACATTATATCAAAAAAGCGTTACAATGTTTTTTTTAAAAAAAATTATCCCAAATAACCTCCTTTCCAAACCAAAAAAAGAGCAGGGTACTTTTTTTAAAAGTTTTTTAACTTACTATTTTGGTTTAATGGTGGGATAAATTGTATAAAAAATAATTTTAGAGGATAAATTGATAATGAAATTATAGTTTATAGGGGTAAAGTGATAATAATTTTAAGAGTTAAACATGCATTTTCACTTTAATGAACATTAATTTTGAGGATCAAATAAGTAAAAGATAATATTAAGAAAAAATTGATAATGACACTGAATGAATGTTGAGGAGGGAAGGTGATAATAACGGTACAGTATTTTCGAAGATGATGCAGGGTGCAAAATGTCAGAACAAAAGTTTCACTTCCATTTTCGGTATCATCATGCGTTGCACTCGGCCGTTTTAAAAGCACGTGGCATTTCATTTTCTACCAAACTTTTGGCAAAAAAGAGCAGCGGATACGCAATTAAGACTTCACCATTTTAATTTTTCTATCCAATAGTAATTAGTGTTAACATTTTAAGAATTAGAAGTTCTATATTCAAGTTCCCTTCCCTCCTCCCAATTCTTAAATCTCATTTTTCTTAAGTTAAAAGGTTTTTTTTTTTTTTTTAAAAAAAGAAGACATTTTAGGAAAGCCATAAATTTATTTTGTGAACATCAATAAAGTGGTGGATCGGGACCAGCAGAATAGTGCGAGTAGGTGGGTGGCGTGGCAAGGGTGTAGGATGGGGTGTCAATTTCAATTAGGAGAGAGTACAATTGCTTGCCAGCCAGAATTTACAGGTGTTGGATATCCAATGGCTTCTGCCCGCAACTGGTCCTGCATTACTTATTATTATTATTATCAGTAGTATTAAGCGACTGCTACAACCAACTCCTTGATGATTCAATTTCCTCCCTCCGAGTAAAATAAAAAAAGTAATTATGTCGATAAAATATTTAGTATATATATATATATATATATATACTAGGACGGACTAGTACTCCTACGACTACTTCTATATTCTGTTGCTTGCTTTGATGGGTCATGCGTTGTCCTGCTCTAGTTTGGCGGGTTTCCTCCTCCATTCATCCAAGGAATTCCCCTTTTGCTGTTTCCGCTTTCCACCTGTGTGTGTTTCGCTTTTCGGCTTTCAAGCCTTCTCTTTTTCTGCTGTAAAGAGGACCCGGAAAATCTTCAGTGTTTAGTCGTAGCTCGTACTTTTTTTTTTTGGTTTTTTGAGCCTCTTTCCTATCCCAGAGGAGCGGAAGGGAGAGTTTCAAAATTTTTTTGTGATTTAACGCATGTCACGTAAAATGATAATTAAAATTTATGTGTATGGTATACGTAAAATAAAATTTGATTTTTTTTCCCTGAAATTCTTGATATCCAAATAACCTCATTGTGTACAGACTCAACTATGATACCTCATTTTTTATATCCGAAAAAAAGATTTAATTCCCTTTTTATCCCGACATTAAGCCAAAGCTCAGTGGTTAGTCGTGGTAGTAATCTGCGGTTAATGTCTATGAGAAAAGGAAAACGGGGAAAAAACGAATGAGCGGTTAATGTGCCTAAACTTAATAGCGACAGTGAGCTGTTAATTAACGGTAGAAATGAGACAAATCCTTTTAGTCCTAAAATATATCATTATGTTTCCATGAAGAGACAGATCAAATTAAATTAATACTTTTTTTTTCTTTTTTGTTTTGACGTGATGGAAGTATTTCTTGTCAATTTGACTAGCGTTGTTTGAGTTATTTATTAGCAGTATCCAAACTCACCTTTCCTTTTGTCCGTGCATGTGTAATTGCCTCGTTTACTAATACCAGAATTGTTTTAGCGGTTAATGTCTAAACTTAATAGCGACAGTGAGCTGTTAATTAACGGTAGAAATGAGACAAATCCTTTTAGTCCTAAAATATATCATTATGTTTCCATGAAGAGACAGATCAAATTAAATTAATACTTTTTTTTTCTTTTTTGTTTTGACGTAATGGAAGTATTTCTTGTCAATTTGACTAGCGTTGTTTGAGTTATTTATTAGCAGTATCCAAACTCACCTTTCCTTTTGTCCGTGCATGTGTAATTGCCTCGTTTACTAATACCAGAATTGGTTTTAGCTTGTACACTTGGAAGTTGTAGTGATTGACTAAGTCCAACGTTGATGGAATTCGTTAATTTTTTCAAAAATAAAATTTTCAAATACAATATTACAGTAATACACAATAACTCAAAAAAAAAAACAAAACATCTCATCCATACAATATTTCAAAAAAATTTTATAGCAAAAATTTTTAATGTACACAGTGTTACGGTAAAATTTTTCAAAAACACCTTAAAAAAAAAACTAATCCAAACGGAGTAATATTTAGCTATTTCTTCTCCTACATAAAGTATGTCGAAATCAACTTGGTAAAATTGTTCGTGCGAGCAAGGAACGGACACGTTGAATAGTAGTGGTTAGTGGCAGTAGTATAAAACACAGAGGTAAACATTTTGATAGGAGTCTTCTTGCCCGGCGGCTACAACCAAAAACGGGGACTCCGGAGTCCGACCTATTTCGTTAATCGGCGCCGAAATGATCCAATGCAAACTGAAAATGACTTTTTCAAACAGTTTATCAACCTAACAAATGGCTACCGATTTTGCCAAAAAAAGCAAGAACACATCTGAATCTTTGAGAATAATTTTTTAAAATAAAATCACTAAAATGGCTCTCAATTCACACTACTATTTTTTAAAAATTAGAATCTCGAAATGCGACAAGCAATTTGGAATGGAAAGAATAGAGATCGAGTTTATATTCGTTCACCTGTATCCTTGGATATAGAACACATTATTATTTGCTGTTGCGTTCTTAAACATGCAATATTAATGTTTAAATTTCTTAAACATTTCGACATTTCTACCAAAGGTAATGTACTAATCAATGTCCTTAATTTTTTTTTTTTAAAAAAAACATGCTTAATTATATGTTTATGCCAAAGGTATTTGAACGTACTCTAAAAATTCTTCCGTTGAGAGCAGCATCACAAAGGCATGAGATTTTGAGTTAGCTCTAAAATTACGTACTAATTTTGAAAAAGGACAAAACAAGAACGTGAAAAACGAATCAATCGGACCGAAACTCCTGAAACGTGTCATGTTTCTTCCCATCACAGCCAAGACGTTCTCCTTCATCATCTTCGTCCCCCTCACCCCCCACAGGTCAGATATTCAAATATTCTCCCGAGCCGAGTGTCAACGACGCAGACGTACCAGTGGGTCCCCCAGCCCCACCTTCTTTCTTCTGCTACGTAATCACTTGTGATTGGACCCCGTGACCCCATCATTCAGAATAAAGCCTCCCCCAACGCCCCTCCCCTTCTTTTTTAAAATTCCTAATATCCCATGCAATCTCGTACTCATACACGTGTACTTAGGCATTAAAAAATTTGATTAAAAAAAGTTTAGGGATTGATTAAGATTAATTAAGGAATACTCCCTCGTCGCATTCATATCTTACGTCTCTGTTTGGATTGTAAGTTATTTGGAATTATTTGAGATATTTTTACTGTAGCACTTTTTGTGATGTGATGTATGTGAGATAAAAAGATATTGGGAAGATAAAAATGTGTATTGGAAATTGTAAAGATGATGTAAGCAAATAAAATTGAAAAAATATGAAGCAATCCAAACAAACCAACAGTTTCGGATTTTTAGAGTTTATTTGAGATAATTATTGTAATACTTTTTTGTGATGCGATGTATGTGAAATAAAAAATAATTAAGAATATAGAAAATTGAGTTGAGAGATGTGTTTTGTGGGGAAAATGAAATATTATTTAAAAAAATTTAGTATTCAAATAAATAACAAGAGAAGTATAAATATCATAATTAAATATTATTTTAAAAAAATTGAAATTTTAAAATATGATAGTAAAATAACTGGGACGGAAGATTGAATAAGAAATGTGAACGTGGTCCGAGGAGCACAGGCGTGTCAGAAAAGGAAGCGTTGATAGAGGATAGAGTGGTGTTTTCAATCCGCCGGGCCACGTATTGGGCGCCTTACACGTGTTGTATTTGAACCGACGAGTGGAAGATGTTTTTGGACACTTTAACGGCCCTGATTTACTACTCTACTTATTTAGGCGGGTACGCACCCACTATTCTTAACTCTCCCCTCGATTCTTACATTTGTACCACCACCCCAGCGGCAGCTGCTCCTACTATTTCCTACCTCAAACGCTGTCGTCCAATCCCCATTTCTGCTTTTGAGTTTTTTTTTTATTTTTTTTAAATTTTAATGAACATTGATGAATAATTAAAGAAGAGGAAACGGGAAAATTAAGGAGGTCTCTGCGTACGGCGTGAGAGGAAGATAAAAGGGCGAGTAGAGGAAGACTGGTGTCCTTTTAAGGGGTCCAATTGTCCCCTCCCACTGCTTTCTTTATTATCTACTTCTCCATCATTTTCCTTTTTCTGCGAGATCAAAACAAAACGAAGATAAAAAAAAAAAAAAAGAGAAGGAAACGAAGAGGTAGAAGAGATAAATTTGGCGCAAATTTGATTCTTTTTATTTTATTTTTTGAATATTTGGAGCTGGATTGGTGTGTAGTAATCAAGGAGGAGGAAGAATTTAGGTGCAGGTGCATGCCGCGGAATGGCGGAGATATGTTGCGGAGTGGTGAGTGAGAGCGAGGCGGCGTCGTCGGTTTGCAGGCCGAGTTCCAGAGCGGCGAGGCGGAGGAGAATGGAGATCCGGAGGATCAAGTTTGTAGCGCACCCGGAGGATGGTGCGGAGAACGGAAAGAAGCGGCCGAGGCTGGAGATATATCCGGCTGCGTCGGTTTCGCGGGAGTGCGATTGCGCTGTCGAGGATCAAAATCTTGTCTCCAAGGTGAAAAACGGAATGAATAAGGAGATGACCGGCGAGTTCCCCCCGATTTTGAATGGTGCTCCGATTTTTTTGACTGCACAATTAGCATCGACGCTGCTTGTCAATTCCAAACCGTTCCCAAAGTTCGGAATGGCGTCGGTTTGCGGGAGGCGGAGAGATATGGAAGACGCGGTGGCGATTCGGCCTTCGTTTTGCCGCGGAGACTTTGAAGACGCCGCTCTGCTTCATTATTTCGCCGTCTATGACGGTCACGGATGCTCTCATGTGCGTTATGTGTGCATATGCATACTCTTGTGAGGACAAAAAAAGGGCGCACACACAAATCAGTTTTTTTTTTTTTTGGTAGCCTTTTTCTGTTGGATCTAAAGGCTTAAAATTGACGGCAGAATTTGAATTTTACAGGTGGCGGCAAAGTGTAGAGAGCGGTTGCACGAGCTGGTGAAGGAAGAGCTAGAGAGCAGAGAAGAAAGTACGGAATGGAAAAATGCAATGGAGCGAAGCTTCATTCGTATGGACGAGGTAGTTACATCCAGCGGCAGCTTGATGGCCTCCAACTGCCGCTGCGAGCTTCGAACGCCCGAATGCGACGCAGTTGGATCGGCCGCCGTCGTAGCAATTGTAACTCCAGATAAGATCATTGTGGCCAATTGTGGTGATTCTCGTGCCGTCCTTTGCCGTAATGGCAAGGCCATCCCCCTCTCTGACGATCATAAGGTAAACGCATTACGTGGCACTTTTCTTCTTAACTAAAATATATATTTCATCTTTGGTTTTAAAATTTATATATATATGTTTTCCCCCCATCATTTTGCAATCTACAGCCGGATCGGCCAGATGAACTGAATCGGATACAAGCCGCCGGTGGGCGTGTAATTTATTGGGATTGTCCACGTGTCCAAGGAGTTCTTGCCATGTCACGCGCCATAGGTAAAATTAATAGTAGTAATTAAAATACTGGACTAGACCAGTATTTTCAAATTAGTTCTTGCGGGCCGATGGAGGAATATTAGCTGATTAAAAATTTTTCTTTGGGCGGTGTTTAATTTTTTAGGTGACAATTATTTGAAGCCATATGTGAGCTGTGTGCCGGAGGTGACGATCACCGATCGGACGGCGGAGGATGACTGTTTGATATTGGCAAGTGATGGATTATGGGACGTGGTGTCGAACGACACCGCATGCGGGGTGGCTCGGATGTGTCTGAAGAAGGGGAAAGGACCACCGTGTTCGCCGGGGGAGGAGGTGGGGAATGAGAATTCAGACAAGGCTTGTTCTGATGCATCAATGCTCTTAACAAAGCTGGCTTTGGCTAGGAGGAGCGCCGACAACGTCAGTGTTGTCGTAATCGATCTGAGGAAGGACGTGTCCAGAGATAGATTGATTTAGAGTCCCCTCTCTCTCTCTCTCTCTCTCTCTCTCTCTCTCTCTGGGTTGGTTGCAAAAAATCAATCTTTGTGTAATTTTTAATGTTTCCCATCATCTTTTGTTCAAACTCTCCAAAGAAATGGGAAGAGAAATACCTCCTTGTTATTTGGTTCCCCAACATGGCCTTTGGCTTTTGTAAATCTCAATCGTACAACGTTTTCCCATTTGAGGTTTCGTGCGGATCTAGGTTTTGCGAATGGAAGCAAAGGGAAACGAAATCAAAGGAACCTGCAGCATCGTCATTTTTTTTTTTTCGTAGATTTTTAGTTGGAAGCATCACCTTTCTTATTTTTCACGTATATCTATATATATTATTGTTAAAATTTGAATACGTAGGTTTGGGTAGAAAAACTCCTGCACAAATATGGGGGAATGATTTGGTTGCCTGGTGCATATATCGTTAGGAGGGGCCGTCGTTCCAGAACATATATTACGTGATCTTTTGCTTTCTTTGATCTTTTGCTTGGACAATAAGTATTGTACATACTACTCGTTCGCTTTGACCATATATCTATGTGATTATTACTTAAATTTGGTCGCAGACGGATGTTTTTGGTGTGCTTTGTATACGTGGCTGTAAAGGAGGAGTCTAGTTTTGGATTAGTTGAGTCCAATTTTGATTCCATTTTACTAACGTTAGTTTGGACTCGGACAGCTTTCAATGTAAAATTTGATTTCAAATTTGAGCCTAGTCGACTTCAAATTCGAGTTTACTTGAGTTTTAAAAATAAAAATAATTATTTTATTTTTTAAAATAAATGAAATATTTTATTAGGAATATATATACACACACGTATGATTTTACTGTTAAAATAAAAAATAAGAATTCAAGTCAGTTCAAGTAGAATTTTTCTATATTCAACTAGATTTCGATAGCTCGATTTGGTAGTGGTAGATTTCAACTTTTGATCGAGCTGACTCGCAGGTAAATTTGTAGCTATACCTTTGAGCAAGGAGTCTTTGCGCCAATTATTTATTTCATTTCGCGCTATAAAAGCAGGCGCCTTATGTTGTCAAAGTGCCTAAATCCCAGGATCATATATTTTGCAATTGCAGCTGAAGTCTCAATCGACGAAATGGACAAATTAAATACAGAAGACTTCCATTTTTAAGTTCAGAATAACTCTAGAGAAAGAAAAGGTTTTAACACTCCACAGTTGTACAGATGTAAAGGCAAACTTGCGGCTTCAAGGGGCAACACTAAAATCTTTGTTAGGCGTATATATTCTATTAATTATTCTTTTATCCACTAAAAACACAAGCAAATGCCGTCTTACACGTAGTTATTGTTATTATTATTATTATTTTTTTTTTGCTGGGCACGAAACATCATCAATTTATTTCAAGGCCATTTGAATTAGAGTTTTTTTTGTTGGGAGTTTTTGTACAGAAAGATGATCTAGCAATGTGATGTATACGAGGGTTAAAAATATGTATAATTAAAAAATATGCTAAGAGAGTATTTCGAAAACTTTTTTCTAGAAAATTAGCAATCCAAACGGGTAAACATTTCAATCTCACATATTGATGGATTATTTATCTTCGTGAATTTGTAACGTTCGTTTTTAAGTTCAGCAAGCTTTCCAATACAAGAAGGGTGATGAATCGTAAATTTATGGTCTTAATTGCAGCTAGGAAGATGTAGCCGCATGTTCATCGCTGACATACGTCGTTTAGAGGATGGGTTGGTTGGTTTGTTCCATCATCCATGGGCTGGCAAGGTTGAACAAGTTCTAAATTACGTGCCGCATAACAAAGTGGTACCTAAACCTCAAAATGAAAATGAAAGGTCCGGCTGCGCATTTGGATTTTAGAATGGACTGAGTTTTTATAGAATAGGGAGCAGTAAAACATATGGACATTGATGTGGGGTTCGCGCAGTCGCTGTTACGTCCCCTCCCGTCCCGTCTGACAAGTGAGTTTTTTGGATATTTATATAAAATTTTACTGTAATTTATTGTAGAAGTTGTAGAAAAAATTTTTCATATGCGAAAATTTTTAGATATTTTGAAGTGTACAGTTCAAAAATTTTTGAAATTTTTTTTGAGATTATTGTAATTAAAGCTGTTAAAAAACTTGTAGCAAGTAAACTTGATTAAAAATTTACTTGCCAAACAAGGCCTAATGATTTTCTACTGTTGAATGTCTGGGAAGGGAGGCTTTCCCCTTACATTTCATCTACTCCATTTCTTTCTTTTATTCTTTCTCTAGTTTGTGTGCGCAAAATATTTTCTAGGGTTTCGATTCATGATGACAAGGGAAGTATTACTACTATTACGGTGGTCAATGTCAAAAATCTTAAGGTGGGGTCTGGAAGGGATACGGAAGCTCGGGAACGATGCCGCGTCATGGTCGTGGCCCGTACAAAAGCAGTAGTAAAGAAAAGTAGGATCCCATCCTATTTGTTGTGTTGTCCATCCCATCTTTTATTAGGCAGCTTTTTTCGCGATGGACTGGACGCACAAGTTTTCCAAGGGACTGGACTCGACCACCCACAATTCCTTCCGGCATCCAAAACATCTTTCTCGTTTGTGCGTGCTCCTCTCCACTGTGTGGAGAGTGAAACTTTGACAGGCATGCGGACGTATCATACCAAATGATTGTCCAGGTCGAACCAAGCAAAACTGCAAAAAGGCAAAAGCTTGCTACTGCATCATACCAAATGATTCTTTTGAACGATCATTTATGCTTCTAAACTTTTAGACGAGAATACGGTTCAGGCAGAATTTGATGTGGTTCATAATCAGCGGCTTTAATCTCCATATAATAGATCTGGAGTAGGTAAGATTTGTAAAAGAGGCCTAAAGTCTCTGCCTGCTTATTTCTGTAAATTGATACGGCTACGCCATCATCGGAGACATTTTATAAAATTGTTGTCACAGAGGCTTTCATTCCATTGCCCCACGTTCGGTTTCATGTACCTTCAGCTGCTACCAACAGCTCTTAAGACCACCAAAGCACTCATCTACAGTGGGAACTATAAATAGGATCTTCAGCACAGTGATGTTTGACAACGTCCATTCTTTTTTGTCAGAAACGGCGGTTGTATAATATGAGGTCAAAAAGACTTCTTCGGATGAAGTTGTAGGGTGAGTACCCTTAAATCATCCCTGTCTTTTGAGTTGAGCCATGGAGGGAAACAGCTAGTGCTCCCAGATAACATCATAGGCAAAGTTTGGGGGAAACAGTGGTGTTTGCACATAACAGGGTGTTGTTTAGTGGACTTTGAGACAACTTCTACAGTTGGTTTTTTTTTTTTTGAGAAGAACTTCTACAGTTGGTAGCAATGCTTTATGCACCTTTAAGTCCAACCTTGTGCAGCAAGAGCACGGTAACACACTCTGAATATTTGAATAATGAACACGAATACGTTGAGCACCTTGTAGGTTTGCATTTCCTATACACTTGCCCGCCAATCCATGTTCTCTTTTTATTTTATGTTTTTGCTTTCACTGCATCGGCCACCATTTCCCAAGGCATTTCTACAGTCAACAAATTCTCCATCAATGTTGGAAAAGCAAAGTTAACTGAACGAGTTACACGACTTTCTTGGGGAACATGGTCAATATGGACATCTGACTATCAGCCAAAGTCCATAAGATAGACCGTTGTGCTTTGGATCACAACTTTCAATAGCCGCAGATTTGATGCAAATCAAATCTGCAATTGTTCCTACTAATAATTTCAGATCACTGAAAGGTTACAGAGTTATAAAGGAAGCCAGAGTTGGAGCCAAAACAAATGGTTTCTATACTTCAGGATGTAAGCAGTCAGACTGTCAGAGCACAAAGTTCCCCGGGAAGTTGTATGGTATTCATAAACTTTGACTAATTAACCACATTATGTTCCCAAAACATGAGGTGAGGAAATCCAAAGCAGGAACACCACAAATCCGAGAGGTGGAGCTTCATTCATGGGGCGGATAGCAGGATTAGCAATCCAAAACATACTTTGGACTACAGCCACACTAATACACATTTTAAACCTAAACGGCAATAGAACAGAAGCAGGTGCAACAAAAGATGCTCAGAAACCAAACAAGAGCTTAGCCCAGATGCTTTCAGCTCAAGATTTCATCATCAGATTCCAAAGCAGTCAAAATGGTTTCCTTTTTTCTATTCCTATCATATATCTTTGCCAGCAGCTTCATCTCCATAGCTCTTCAATGCCTTCAATTTTCTGTAACCTTTGTCAGTGCCAAATATCCTGACACAAATTGGTAAAAGGAATATATCAGATTCATGTACCACGTATTGGGAAGGTGATTCCCATTCATTTGCCGGGCAGTGAGCACAAGCATTAATTCTGAAAGGAAATATCCTTGAAAAGGAACCATGCAGCAGATTTTCACACAAACAGTAGAACACAGAAGATGCGACATAAAAGATACTCGAACCTTTTTGACTTGTAAAGAAAAATAGTCAATCCATTTGTATACATCCACTACATCAGCAAGATAGGGGTAGAAGGACCTAAGGGTATTATTAGAAGAAAATGTCCAGCTGAAAGCAAAAGCAAGCTTATTCGTAATTTATTTACTAAAATATGTGATTTTTGGACTATATCCTGTTGCTTGGGTTATAAATTGTCAGTCTATCATCTACTATGAAAGCTCTCTGGCACCGGGAGGAACAAAAAGCTTGTAAAAGCTTGTGCTCCATCTTAATTCCTATTAATTAGTCCAAGAAAATTTGGTAACCTACAAAAAATTGAGGAAATAAAAAAGTAAAGCACAAATAGCAATTGGTCAAACTAAACCTCAGGCAGTGTGCTGTTAGCAGGCAACCTTTTCAATGGCATACCACAATTCCAGTCCTCTTCCGGGAAGGAATTTTCAGATCAACCAATTCTCACAAATGGAATTACAACTGGTTCAATCTTTGGCTTCCAAAGACTCTACTCCAAACAAGAATGTAACGGAAACTCATGGCAAATACCATGCAATACCTAACTAACTACCTCGAAGATGCACAACTAGAGTAGGGTCCCATCTTATTGCTTAGCTAATAGGCATTCATATTTGGCAGTTTCAGTATCAAACGGTAACCAAGAATGCCCATGATTTTCACACTTAAGGCAGTGCCTAATCCACCAAAACACCTCTAAAAAGCAAACAAATGTGTTTAAAGCCCACGAAAAGCATTTATGTCGAAAGCATATTCTCTCAATATTGTCATGTTCACCAACAGACCTTACAAAATTATCAACAGGAGAAAGTGAATATTCTCCAGGTAGCCTGTGTGATGAATCGAAAAATAACTTGTCACACCCTCAAGAAGATTATGGTAATCTTTGAAACTAAAAAAGGAAAAAAAAAAAAACATCTAAAAATAGACTCCCACCATTTACAATCAAGTCAAGAAGACTGTCTTCGAGCTTTCAACCTATATCACCAGTCCAGCTAAAACAAGAAGCTGCTCAAATGATCTATGGTCGCACCAATTCAACTTGGATGACAAGGAATAGAAATTGCATGAGATACTTTCAGCTCTAATGCAGAGATGCTGGCATTGTGAATGAAGGCTACTCATTCAAAATAATAATCACCCCTTCTGAGTTTTGGCAAATCCAGGTAAAACATCTCTTCTGTAAAAAGATTAATAACTAGTCTGCATCCTGCAATCAAATGATTGTTTTGTTTTGGCAAATAATTTTCCGATGCACACTCTCATTAGCATAAGATGTGGCGGGCTAAAGAATCAGCTACACCTCTCCCCATTTCTCATTGTTCTTCTCTTATTTCTGTTTTGGTGATTTTTAGTTGTTATAACCATATTCCTTAACATGCCCTTATGAACATGATGATATTTCCGATATACAATTTCTTCTTGAGTATATAATCTTCAAGCAGTGTTTAAAACTAAATAGTACAACTCACCAGTCCATGTAAACAAAGGTTGATGAGTAGTTGCCAGACTTTGTATAGAGCAGTCGATGATGATAATCATGAAAATCAGCACTGAACATAAGAGAAAATTTCAGGCATATAAACAATATGGGGGCTAAAGAGACAGATTTATCATAAAGCATCGATAAGGGCATTAACTGACCCCCCATATAAGGGTAAGAAATTTGAGAGACTCCATGGAAAATGATAACCACAATGCGCCTCGACGGTCTCAAGGACTCTAAGCATCATCCACAGCCAGAGTGTAATCAAATGGGGCCCAGTGATGGCAGGACCAATTATTGTAGCAAACCCAAGGAACAAAATTTCAGCAGGGTGAGCATATTCAGAGGTCAGTCCAAATGGTGTTGCATACCTGTAGATGCAAACACCATAATATTGCACCCAAAGCATATAAAAAAAAGAGGACGACTTTAAATTGACGATCAAGAAAGAAGAAAATGACACTACTTACTCGTGATGAACACTGTGGACATGTTTGTAGAGCCACTTAGTATGTAAAATTCTATGTCCCCAGTAGAATACAAAATCCTCCAGAATGAAGTAGAACAAAATCTGTGTTGAGATTACTTTCCTGCGGATACAAAGTTAATGAAAATTATATACATGAAAACAGAAGCACAACTGAAAATAAAATTAGTATTAGGGGGTGCAGAAGGGGTAGAAGAATCAGTAATTTTACAAAGAGAAAGAACCAAAGAAATCAAATTCGTGTAAAGTTTGAAATAGCACTTAAGTCACTGGTCCACCCAGAAAAGAAAGAGAATCATAAAGAAGAACATCTGCTATCTAAGATCTAGTATATAAAGAACCTGAAAATACCAGGACGGCAATGGAAGGCTACTTCTCATCCCCATGTATCTGAAGACAGGATAGGAGAAAACCATCACTGGCAGGTTGACACAAAAATGGTACAGCAGCAGACGACTGATACATTTCTCCTGAGCAGCAGGGGTGTTATTTTTTGTCTGCAAGAAAGCAGAGATGGGCGGTACCAATTAACATGTGCACTGAAGGATGGAAACCTAGAAATATGATAACTCCATCTGATTGACCAGTCTCTATCAGATGTTTATCATGTAGAACCCCAAACCAAAACAATCTTCACAGGCATGTCCAAGTAGTAGAATTCAAATCAACAGTATTATGAGTTAGCAATGCTCTGACATATGAAACTAATTCATCTGTACTTTCTCATAAACAACTCTCCAATGAGAATGCTGTAGAAGACTTTTTGAGATGAAAGAAACAGAGTATATTGAACCATAACCAGCCTTTAATGACTAAATAAAGAACAGATCAGTGTCCATCTACTGAAACAACCACCAAGAGCATCCTCAGTCAGCCACACCGAAAAAAGAAAGTATATATACTCCCTCCAAAGTCAAACCGACATAGACTAAGTTTGAACTGGAACAACATTTACAGTTGAAGTTAAAAGGATGCTCGTCGTCTTTTTATTGCCACTCATGCCCTTAACTCAATAATTGAGTGGGTTTAATTAGTTCCTCTCAACTCCCTCTCATCCAACCAACACATATAACTGAATATTTGCAAATATTGTCTTTAGCTGGCTACCAAAAGGAAGACAAAATGTAGAGAAAAGAAAGAAAATAAAAGGGTGGGGGAGATTGCATGCATGTGTATATGTGTGAGAGAGGCATGCCCTTCTATCTGTTTTCTTCTATGCCTCAAATTCTACTTGCAGATGAAATTAAAGTGGAGAGAGTGAGCAGACATAAATGCAATGCAAATCAAACACATAAATACCTTCGTATTACTATACAGGTAAAAATCCACACACACACGCATATGAATGATATTGACAATAGGAACAACAGGCCACATTATCCACCCGAGAGAATAAATAACTGGCCATCAGAAATTCTACAAATGGCCGCAAATAAGTAGCCTAAGACTCATGGAGGAAAAGCAGACTGTAACGCTATAGATTTTTAATTGTGAGCGTTAGGAATTGCACTCTGATGAAATTTTGAAAATTCAAGCATGAAAGCTAATAAGAACTTGTAGTGAGTGCATGTATTTTGAAGTGAGTGTGTGTGTGTGAGAGAGAGAGAGAGTGAGAGCTTTTAAGCACTTCAGCATCCTTCAATGTGGTTTATTTTACAAGGTTAAATAAATATGCCACCAGCAGATGACTAACATGCAATATACTATGCCACCCATGTTTTCTCCACATAATGTGGGTAGACAGCACATGCTGTGATACAATTTTAAAATACAAATAAAACCAAAATTAGGGCGAGAAACATAAGATCTACAAAGAGAAAGCTGACTATAGGATACACTTTCAATTGGAATGCCAAATTGTCTACTAACCTAACATGATGATATCATCAGCGGTCATAATAATTGGGACTTTAAACAGAACCCCCTCATCTCCATCCCCAAAGAAAAAACAACAAAGGAAAAGAAAAGGAACCTATGGCATAGTCAAATCAATTGAACGTTAACCAATATTACAATATAGAGTAGAACCATGATTCATAGTGTCGTAGTTCAAAAAATAGTAGAGCTATTGTCCGGAAGTACAACGAACACAAAAATGAAGAAGATCCATCATAATCATTTACAAAATGAATAACTGAAAAAGGAAACCTGAATTTTATACTTGCTTAGCCATCCAGCCCTTTCAAGATAAATGCAAGGAAGGCCAGACAAGAAGAAGACACTTTCATGAAGAAAGAAACTTCCAAGACAGGCCAGCTGAAAGTCACTGAAGTGAGTAATCAAATACTGCAAAATCGTCACAAAAACAAAATGAGCAGAGCACATTCCAAAGTATGGTAGTTATCGAGTTCTGGATAATAATAAAGCACAAAGAGAGTAACCGACAACCAATATGTAGACATGTGACTGACTAATAACTAAAAGATCAAACATAAAGCACTGCCACCCAGACAAAAAGTACACTTCTTGCACACGGCAGCATGCATAAATCGCCTCACTGGTAACCCCAACAAATAATGAAAAGCAAGTTAATTAATGATTTTAGCGAAATATAACTTAGACCCGGTTCTTTTTCAGAATAAAATGAAAAGAATAAGATATCGAATCGTGAGAATATAAACTCAAGGAAAACTTCCAAACAACAGTAGGTTTCACCCTTTTCCTTTTTGTGAAGATAAATTCGAATAATGAAGCACCAAAGGGGTGATCCAAATATGGCAGAAACAGTATCATCTATGTATGCAAGAGATATTTGTCTACACATAGCAGAATCTGTAAATTATATAGCAAATACGGAGAACCAAAAATAGATTATAATTATGTAGTCAAGAAAAAACACCAAAACAAAAATATTGTAGTAATGATATAAGCTTAATTTAGATAATGAACAGAATACATAGCAATTCGCAGGGGAATTTATTAAGCAGGACAACTAAACCCACCCCCCAACCCCCCGGGGAAATCTTACCAAGAACAGACAATTCAAAAAATGCACTGTGTCATTCAAGCACGACGCCCACGATAGCGCCTTTTCGGAAATCAACAAAAACGACAGCTCCCGTCACTATCCTGTCCTTGAAATACAGGACTTTATTCCTTGGAGTTTGTGACACATTGACACTTGGAGGAAAATTACCACGCAATCAGATTCTGGAACTCAACTCCTATTCTTCCAAAGGAATACATGAGAAACTTCTTTTGCGTTCAGTAGCATAAAAGGATGAGGACAAGCTCAGATCACCAAAACGTCCAAATTCCACTTCCATGGAAATTGCTAAATCAATAGTTTCTCACTTATAATGGTGATAAATGTCCACTTTCCCGCATGACCGCAGAATATAAACTTTCTCGCACAGTAAAATTTATTCGAATGTAGTTGATTGATAGATATATCTAGCGGGTAGACATTCAGATTAATTGTCCATTGGTAGTGGCAGCTAAAAAGTAGGAGTCACATTCCAGGCCAAATTCAATCATATAGTCAGTCTCTGCCTCGTCGAATCCGTGCAAGGCATCCCGAATTAACATCTATCTAATAATAACATGCAGCAAGCATGCAGAAGTGATGCAGAACTACGCAGGCAACAAACGGAAATGTAAAATCCATAGATCCTAGATTTGCAGTTTGTCAAGTTCATGGCGGCAAAATCCTCCGACAAAAACTTTTGAGGTAGTGGCTTCACTCACTCAAAGTCTTCTTTCACAAAATTCGCCATGAAAAAGGTAAAATAAATAAATAAAAACAAATGTAGGCAAGTTAAAATGCAATCGAACAAATTCAAATGTTGATAGCAAATGAAAAGAGCTAGGGCTAAAAATCAGGGAATGCCGATTAAAGGAATTGAAAAAACAAAAAACGCGTGATTTTAGAGAGAGAGAGAGAGAGAGAGCAGATAGAGATTATTATTACCGTCCAACCAGATTCAAGGAGGGAAGCAGCCATTGCGGTGGGGGAGGAGGACTGGTTTGACCTGTTGATGACGATAATCTCAGAGCAAGTCACAGATGGAGAAGGAGCACTATAAATAGTACTTAGTAAATTTGAGTAATGAGTAAAGAGCGAAAAAAAAAAATCAGTATTAGTAGTATTAAGTAACGAGGCTGGTGAGGGAGCAGTAGAAATATAAGTAGCAATTAGCAAAGGCAGGGTAGAGAGAGAAAGTGTGGGCGAGGAGAGCGGAGACTGTTAGTATATAGGAGTAGTTACTACAGAAATAGGAGTGACTGGTGAAGGGAGAGAGAAAAGTGTCCATGAGATGAGACAGACTGTCACGAGAATCTGCGCTCGTGGCCTCTTATATTTTGTGCTCCTCCTGCTTACTCATCATGCTCTTCCAATCTTTAGCATTCCTTTTTCTTTTTCTTTTAAGCCACTCCCTAATTATTCATAATTTACTGCCTCTTTTACTCGCTCAAGTGGTTAATTACTGCTTCCAGCATGATGCAAGCTCGCACTGTTGTTTTTCCTTCTTGGCTACAATAATACTAGTGTGAATACCCGTGCGTAGATATTATTGAAAAAATGAAAATAAAAGGGTGAATTAAAAAATATTAAAAAATTGTACCAACACAATTAAAATATAATATCTCTCTAACAATAGTTTGAAATATGATAGAATGTGTATATTATTCAAAAATTACCTTTTTTCGGAAGATAGATCCTGAAAAAATAATAGAAATTTATATTAGAAAATGAATGATATATGAATAAAAATGAATGTAATTAAATGTTGTTAAAATGAAATACTTACAAATATTATGTATTCTATTTGATAATTTTGCATGAAAGTGCGAATACTCTTCACACCAATCAACTTTTAATACGAAAGCCAAAATTGGTGATTTAATTAATTCTGTTAAATTTTGTTGAATGCGTACTACAAATGAAAATGTACGATCTTTGCATGAATTGATTCGTTGGTTGAACAACCTATCACCATTGTCCTGAGAATTAAATATGTGCGAAATTCAAAATTAGTGTATTGTTTTTACATAGTTTATAAATAGCATTATAAAAAATAAACATATATCAAGAAATTCTACCTTCTTTTGTAATTCTCAAAATAAGAAGCATCACAACCAAATACAAATCGTGCATGTCTGTCCTGTAGATTAAGATGCATGTTACCATTGGAATCTTTGATTTGTATGTTAACATTGTACCTGTTTGACAAATAAAATGTTATATACAATACAGAAAAATTTGTTGATTTTAAAGGTACATGAATTAATTACCTAACAATAGTGTCGACCACATCATTATAATGCATACACACTGTTTTTGAAAAATGACTTTCACATAGTTGTCCACAATTTTTGCATAGCTCATAGAACATGTTTTCTATGTTAATGCTCTGAATGTAAGCAAATATTCGAAAATATTTAATCTAGTAAGAATGAAAGAAGGTATATGTTATGATTATAAATTTAAAAACTTTGTGCAGTAATTAAATTAAATAGAGTAAGTTTACCATATGCATGATTGTATATTCGGATATCCATATTCTCTTTGAATTTGCTATCAACAATGCTTGTGATGTTCTAAACTTGCTTGACCTCAATCACGTAACTAACTTTCGAGCACATGTATCATTTTCAAACCTATAATTTTTTGAAATACATGTTGATAAAAGTATGAAACAATATTAAAAGTTTGATGTAGTGTTACTGATGGAACTTACCAACTGCGCAAGTATCGAGCAAAATCTAAATTGTGATTAATATACAATTTGCTAGTTTCAATTGTACAAAGTGATAGTCCTGCATAGTATGGTTATATTCGTTAAAAAATTATTCAAATTATATAGAGTATAAGTAAAAGCATTTGATTTACCTCTGAAATTTCGTACGCAAATACCACATGCTAGTAAAATATTATTTTTTGTAACTGACTGATATTATAGGATTTGTAGTATATTCAATAACTTGATACTCAAATCACCGATGAGGCAAAGTTTGCCTAAATAAGCTTTATAGTGTCCTAACTCCTTGCAAAAAAAAAAAAATGCTAAATAGTCCTAATTGGCATTGCAAGTTACGGCAACGTGCCAGTGGCATCTAGGCCTAATTTTTTTTTTAGGGTCAAAATCTAGTCCTAATTGGTTCTGTTGTTTCTTGATCATGTTGTATGCTTCCAAATTAAAATTGTATTAAAATAGCATGTAAATGAGCATTTGTCTTTAATTAAGGAGTAAAAAGGATTTAAAGTATAAATAACAAACTATAAACGGTTTGTGAAGTAGATTATGGGAAAGTTTTAAATTTTAAATTTGACTAGTGATAAGGTTAGTTATAACCCACTACTTTTTATGTATTAAAATAAATACAAAAATCTATAACCCACTACTTGTTCGGTTCTTGGGATTTTTTTTAGGGTTAAATATAGTAACCCTCTTAACTTTATATTTAACTGCACTTTATCCCCTCAACTTTACATTTAGTTGCACATTTGTGATTTTTTTGAAATGTGATTGTAATTTGCAAAGCTCATTTGTAGGGGTCGTTATAGGGTTAGTGTGGTGACAAATATTTCTTAATTATAAAAATATAACATTGTATTAAAATAGCATACAAATGAGCATTTGTCTTTAATTAAGGAGTAAAAAAGATTTAAAGTATAAATAACAAACTATAAACGGTTTATGAAGTAGATAGTGGGAATGTTTTAAATTTTAAATTTGATTGGTGATAGGGTTAGTAATAACCCACTACTTTTTATGTATTAAAATAAATACAAAAATTTAGCAAAAAGAATGAGAAATTTGGAAGCCATTGAGAGGGTTTCTGCTAAAAATCCCTTCTGCAATACATATAGATTTTAGGGAGTAATATGTGTTTGCACTAGCACCTTTAAATGCCACAAGTGTGAAAAAAAAAACAAAGAAAGAAAGAAAGAAACTTGAATTTAAATTGGAATTAAACGACACACATTCAAGGATGTATGCATGGTTATTGTATATAAAATTAAAATTGAAATTTGAAAACTAAAATTTGAAATTTCATACGTAAATTTTGAGTCTATTAAATTGAAAAAAATTTTAAAAAATAGTTTTTCCTTAACACTAAAAACTAATTATTAAATGCCGCATTCTTTCATCTTCTTCACATTTTTTTTCTCTCTTGTCAAGTTTGCATCTCTATTTTTTATTTTCCTGATTTCCTCCAAACTTCAACCTTTTTTTTTTAAATTATAATCTCTAAATCCCAAACACGTGAATTAAAATTTAAATTTACAATGTCTAATTCCTATAGATATGAATATTGTATAATTTCATAATATTGTGGTATTTTTGGGTTGGATTTGAGATTTTTTTTTGGTAAATACAATTGAAATTGAGATGAAATTTATTTGTTTCAACTTATAATTTAGAAAATTTATTTGTGAAAATTCAAGTTCTTTGAAAATATTAAACTTTTCATCATATAGAGTTTTAATTATTCCATTGCATGTCTTATTTTGTGCACATATATTTATATAAATTATTTTTAAAAAAATTCATTGAACCAAGTTGAACCAAAATGACCGATTGAATCTCAACCCGAACACTTCACCGGTTCAATTAACAGTCTGAGTTTTAAAATATTAATTATCACTTGTGGGTCTGTCTAAAAAATGCCCATCAAGCACTCGTTAAAATGTATTTTAGGTGTCGTATTTTTTAAAATACAATATTATTTATGAAAAGTAAATAAATACAAATGAAATAGGTAAGATTAAATAGAAAAAATATAAAATGGAAAAAATATAATAATTATTAGTATGTGTATGTACATTGTAGGCTAGGTGAATTTCACATATATTAACGTGTGTCCAATAGGCACCCGTTAAAAAAATCCATCACTTATTGTTTGGAGTAAGTTTTATTTAGAAAATTAAGTTCACTTAATCAATTAAAATATTTTATATTTTGTTGTCAGGTGTGTCTAAATATGTTAAAATATAAGTCTATTAAATATAAATGATGAATTGAATTATCAATAAGGGATTTAGGTCTTGTTTGGTAATTCAATTCAATACTTAAACTTAATGAATTCAGATTTTAATATGTTTAGAAGCGTTTGATAATAAAAAATTGAACATTTAAATTAATTAAGTAGTACTGAATTTTTTAAGCAAAACTTACTCACAAGAATAAGTGATAAGATATTCACTTATCATTGAATATGATATTTATTTAAATGCATTTGATTTAATATTTAACAATTCGTTAACTTAATGAATTCAGATTTCGGATTTCAGATTTTAATTTTATCAAACGCATCCTTACTCTTATCTTAAACTTATTAAAATCTAAATCTAGAACAAGATATACTCCCTCCGTCCCGTTTACTTAGTCTTGATTTTTTTTTCACACAGATTAAGAAAGTGTAATTAATTTGGTTGGAAACATAAATTTAGATTAATAATTTCCTAAAATACCCTTATGCTAATAACGAAGAGTGCATTAGAAAAGCTCAATGTATTCAATGTAATGGGTTAGTATTTAATAACAATGTATTAATAACAAGATATTTAATAAGGGTATTGTAGACAATTTGAAAGATCATTACATTTCTTAATGGGAAAGTGGACTACAATTTGGGACAGACCAAAAAGGAAAACAAGACTATCAAAGTGGGACGGAGGGAGTAGTAATTATGAGACTTGTTTACTTACCAATTCTGTTATGCAACCTGTTGAAGTTGCTTGTGATATTATTGATTGGTGGTGGTATGGTGAATCCAATGATGAAACCGTAGAAGATTAATGGGTTTGGCTCATCTCAAGTGAATTTTCTCTATATTTCTCACAATATACTTACTTATGGATGTATAACATGTGTCTTCATTTACCTAGGAAGGGACGATGATCATTTTAAATTTGATTAATTCTAACCCTTATTAATAAATGGTCACGTATTCAAATATGCACTACTAAAAATGAGAAGAGAATTCATTGGAGATGAGCCAAGTGCCCAAGTGTGAAAATTAAATTAGGCAACATATAGTTTGCAAGGTTGTTGAAGTCTTTTCATTAATATTCAGCGCATCAAATTAATTGTAATTACCAATGTACTAAAATTGCATGGATGAAGTTTGTATAGTGATACAATTCATAGTTTGGGATGCAAATTACCGGATGGTAGAATTTCTTAGAGAAAATCTTATACGCCCCAATGGACAAAAAATAACTTCCTTACACACGATACTGAAGTTATTTTTCCTTCTAAAGTCACAGCCTCTTCCAGAAGACAATCAGC